CTGTGGGTGTTCTGTTCACATAACAAAGTTATGGAGACGCGTAGTACCCGCTCACCCTTGCTAATTTCAATCTGTTTTCTGATATCTAGGCTGCTCCGGGACCAATTTCCAACTTTTCATGTTTACCACGTCCATCGCACACTCCGCCTGCAGAGGGTTGTGTCCCTCTTCTCATCCGCTGACACCCTAACATTTATCCCGTTTTTCATTCTACTGGAGAACTCTAGAACCGAATTACATTTTGCTGAAATAAACACTTCACCCACCTCACTAAGTTTGTGAGGCACCCTTTGGAAGTTAAAAGCAGTATATGACCGATGCATTCAGCTGTACCATTGCGTCGTGGTCAATTCACGTCCAATGTCGTTAAAATCAGAGAGCGAGGCGCTGTGCAAACCACAGTTGCAGAACTTTCTGCACAACTGAGCATGATGCTCAGGCCCCTTCTTCGATAAGGTAACCCTACCTGCAACGATGGATAATGTGCTAATTTCGTAAATCAAAAATACGTAAGGAAAGCGCCGTTCGCTGGCGATGAACCACAGCACCGCCCACTGGCCACGGCGACGCCCAACTTTCATTTTTAACTCCACCTGATGGTGTGGTTGTTCCGCCACTATTCCCTCCATTGCGAGTGGTGAGTGTGAGGACTTTTGAGTGAACGTTCATTTCTATATGATCTGTCAGCGGATGATTGGTGCCGTCGTCGCAGAGAAGGTTCAGCCGTCTCTGAATGCTATTATTCTTCCTCCTTCTTCCACAAGTCTTAGAGCTCTAGATTCTATGCATGCAGTGTGAAGGTAGTTTTTATAGGCTTTTCCCTTGAGAGATCTATGGTCCATTCTATCGAAAGAAAAAAGAGATAAGAATTTGACCTTGCTTTTCAGTTTTTTCTAGGAAACCTATTTGTTCTGCTCCAAAAGTATTTTTATTTTTACAGCGCGGACAAGGAAGTCTATACTCGACTTGTGCCGTTTTCTTTCGAAAATGCTAGTACAAAGATGGGCGCCAATGAAGACTGGCAGTTGGAACAATATGATTGCAAACTGGTGAGTTTCCACGATATGTACTGTTGAAGAATTTTGCATCTGGCTATCAAGGTTTAGAGCAGAAGGCTATTACTGCGAAATCACATGGGTGAAGTGCAGAGCTGCGACAGCGACTTCTTATAGTTATGAGCCCCACAAGCGTGTGGGGGCGTGTGACGGGGCGTGGCTTGAAGCGCAGCCAGGCCAAACCCATTGTAGCGGGCTTCCAATGACATTATTGGTGGAAAAGATCTCCCTGTCTGCGCTCCAATCCACGTCAGTCGCACGCCCTGCCGTTTGAAGGGATAACTATACATAGTTCTTTGGTTATTACATTCACAAGAACCTATCATGGCAGTCCTTATTGAATGGAAAGAAAGGAACCGGTTTTTGATCGTTTCCCATTACTGAAGGGTCACAGTTGCGCAAATGTTTCTGCGAAGTCTGCGTTCTTCCCACGCAGAATACGTCTTTGAACATCGTTTTTTT